TGGGAACCTGGCATCAGTCTTGAAGATTCCACCCTGATTAGATAAGGGAGTGTGTAGTTGGAAATGTCGGCGGCAGGGAGGGAGGGATGCTTTGAAGATCCTGGCTGATTCTGCCTGGCATGGCTCTGGTTCCTGGGTGGCCGCCACCCTCTGCCTACTCCGTGGGAGATCAGAGAGTGGGTATCTTTCCCGGAGTGTCCATGGGAAACTCCTCACCTAGGTTCCCAGGATGTGGAGGCACTATTTGCATGGAGGATCAGCCCACAGAAGTTCTGGTCTCTTGGAGGTCAAGACCTGAGTCGGGACTCAGTCACAACTTTGGAGATCCTGAGCGTGGAGGAGGCGAGGGAAACAGCTGCTTACAGATGACTTTAGCATCTCACAGTTGGAAATGTCTTCCCTCTGTAGCATCGATGCCTTGTGAAGGTCATGGGCATTTAGTCCAGTGACAGAAAACACATTCAAAACACATTCAGCGGGCTGGAAGAAACCATGAGGGACCCCAGGAGGGCATCAAGCTGCTTCTGATGAAGAACAGTGCCCCACCCCCCTGCACTGAGAATACGCTTACCCTCCACTAGGCTCCCTGTCCATCTCTTGTGTCTCCCAGCTTCAGCTCCATGCCTATGTGGGGAGGTTCTTGTTTTTTTCCTTAATAACCCAGTAGCTCTCTATTTGTTGATGGGGGTTCTGGTCCTAAAAATGAAGTTAGTTTAGACTTAGAGGTCTCCAAAGACCAGGCCTTAGGTCTGTGTCATTCTGCATAGGACAGAGGTCCATGAAAAGGACATTTAAGAAGCCTTCCCCCAGAAGGCCTGAGACAGTCTGATGCATTCTCTGCCAGTCACTCTTGGTCACACAGGACTACATGGACAGATGTGGCAGTATCCCAAGGCATTTATTTCTGGGCACAGGGACAGGTCCGTCAGTGAGCCAGCTGAGTTTGGAGCTGTGCGAGGACAGTTCGCAGTCCCTGGAACTGGTGAAGTTGCAGGACGGCTAGTATTGGTCACAGCTGCACTGGACACATAGAATGCCTGCCTGACCCCATCGCTGGGAAGGCTGGAGAACTAGGACGGGACTCTCCCAGTGTTCAGGAAACGTCTGGGGCTTTTTCTCAGCCACTTCTTTCACCTTTCATCTGCTTTGCCCTTCCTGTATGTGCAGGGAGATGGAACCCGTGTGTTCCAAGGGCCTTGGTTGAGTTCACTGTGGTGTGAATGTTCTGGGAGACTGTTGGAAGTTCCCACGGCCGGGGTCCTCTGCCTTTGAGGGAAGATGCATTTGCTATGAGGTGTGTTATACCACACTTTATGTGGTATACTGCCATGAGTATATGGGATGGTAGCAATGGCTCTCCTGTCCTTTCCTTAGAGAAGGCGCAGTCTGTCTCCTGAGACTGAACTTGGTGAGTCCAAAGCAGCTTTTCCTCTGATGATGCAGCTCTCTGATCCCAACTACTTGGGAAGTTGAGGCAGGAGGATCACAGTTTCCAGCTCAGCGGGCTACTAGGGGTATTAAAGTTCTGCCTGGGTGACTTAGCCAAACCTTGCCTCAAAAAAAGGAAGTGGGGGTAGGGCTGTGGGTCGCTGGCAGGGGTCGGGGCAGGGGGGCAAGCATGCAAGCAGCCTGATCCTCTGAAACCTAGAGTTCAAGGAGAGATTCAAGAGATGGGGTCCTTTCCCATCACTGGAGTAGAGTCTCCCCATCTCCTTCAAGTGTAGAAAACAAAAGCACTAGAAGCCACCTGGCATTTCTTTTTGTTCTGATCATAGCCGGCTATGGAGAACATACACACATCTTGGGAGAACTTTAGCTCAGTGAGAGAGTGCCCGCTATGATTGTGTCAGACCCTCATTCAGTCTGTAGACTGCAAAAGAGAACAATCAGTCCCAGCTCTGGTGACCAGAGTTAAGAGTAAACCACTGTCAACACTGAGGTTTTCCCTCCCAGCACGTGTGTCTGTCTCCTTAAAGAGTGATGAAGTCATCACATGATGAATCAGCTTGTTCGTATACCACTGCATCACAGTAATCTTGTCACCGAATGGCCTTTGTGGGTGCCATCTCCTGTGATGGCTCACTGTTCTGTTGGAAGGCTGCCCCCCAGTTTCCTTGCCCATTCTTGGCCATCTACACAGTTCCCAGGTTTTTGCTTTATAAATAATATGTACAAAGCTCCTTTGGGGCAGGAACTGTTTGTGTTTGGGATTTTTCTTTCTTTGATTTCTAGAAGTTGCTTATGATGTTCAAGGATAGAGTATACAAAGGTGTTACCAAACCCCATCTGCAAAGCATGGCTGTCACAGACTGCAGGCAGAGGGCTGGAGCCCAGGTGACGATGTGTGCAGGAACTCTGGCTGTGGCCACAACACTGACAACATCTAGTTTATATCCTTGAGGAACTTACTGGATTTGGGGACCCACAGCATGCATCAATAGCCCAAAGGAGGAGATGCTGTACCCACAAGGATCTATCCATGGACTTGGGGTTGGGGTATTATTCTCTGTGTGTATTCATCTTCCATTTTCCAGAGCACTCATCAGAATCCTTTCGTCTACACAGCTGCCAAGCTCTACCCTTTCGCTGCTCATTTGAGGTGTGTGTGGTGAAGTGGATTGTTTTTATTTCATAGTTTTCATAATAGAATAAATTTCAAAAAGTGTCATTCCCGTGTCCAGTAGAGATGGTTTGGTTTGGGGGAGTCTGAGTTAGGGTATAGCATCTGCCAGAGTCCATACTCCACAGGTGCCATACACATGTTGGCAGTGTTTGTCACCCACCCTTGTGGGGATAATCTGTTTACATGAGCATCTGTCCTTGGCAACACGAACCTGTTGTCAGAGCCCTGTGTGATATAGGGACATGGCACCTGGTGATACGAACCATCATTACCTCATCCCTCTGCCAGAGCCTCCATCCTCCCCTGGGTTCCAGGAGTTAAAAGGGCTTCTTACTGTGCATGTGTGGTCAGAAGGGACAGCCAAACTGCTGTATGGAGCTGGCAAGCAGATTCAGGCACTCTTTGTGCTTAAGGCTGTCACTGGGGGCGGTGCCTAGGTGTGCGTGTGGAAGATTGTGGCTATTTGTTGTGTGTCTTCTTTTCTCCACTTAGTGCCAATCACTTCTGTGTGGCTAGCCTGTCCAGTGGGAAAAAGAGAGGCTCTCTATGCCATACTGTTACTTTGTCCTGGCAGCCCCCTATTCAGGCATCTATAATTACGGGGCTTCCACAAACTCAGCTTGTTCAAAGAGTTCAAGGATTTTGTCAAACACCCACAGTCTGGACAAGTGAGTTTTGGGCTTGGTTCATCTGGCCCCTTCTCCTGGGGTCTCTTGCCCTTCTGCAGCTTGAGTGACCACATCTCCAATCGAGGGTCTGTGTACATCAGGCCATGCTTTGACTCTGTAGCTCCCCTACATATATCTCATCTGGCTGGTTAACCAGTCTGTGTGCTTACACTCTGGTTGCTGATTCTCCAGGTCCAGCAGAGTTGTTTTCTCCCTCTGAGACTCCTGGCTTCTGCAGAATAAACCCGTTTCTCAGTTTCTGTGGTTCTCTCTTCCTTTGATCTGTTGTTTGCTCCAGACCCAGAAGCGTTTAGTCCATAAAGGGCTCAGAGAGGCATCGTGCAGTGCCTGTAATGTATACACCCATGCCTGACATAGTAGGATGTCCATTCTTATTTGGCCTAGCTCCAGGTAAGCCAAAAGCAATAAGCCCATCCAGAGACGGATGGCGATGGAAGAGGAAGCAGGTACTCCCCACCCCTAAAATGTAGTGAACACAGGCATGAGAAAAATATTCAACTAAGCATTGCCAGTGACCACTCCAACCATTCCAACAGAATGCAAATTGAACTCCAAATATAACTCTAGGGTGGGGTAGGGTGGGGAAGGAACAGCCACGAAGCTTCTGAGTGCTGTTAAGACACATTTGGTTGAGAATGGAGGCTCATGCCTGTAATCTCAGACTCGGGCTGAAGCAGGAAGATGGCTGTAGGTTCCAGGCCAGGCTTGGGCTACAGCGTGAGCCTCTGTGGCAGTCAGTCCTCTTACCTCCAAAGGAAGCACTTCCTCACAGTGGGCCTTTCCTTAACTGGATAGGACCTGAACTTCCATACCCTGGTTCTATGCAGTTGTTTTTTTTTTTCTCTCTAAAAAAGGATATTTTTAGTAATACAGCTTTATTAAAACTTCATGTAACATAAACTTAGTAACTTTTACATATCAGATAATTTTAGGAAAATATATTTTACACATTAAAAAATACTGTATAACTAATATGTAAATATTTAAAAGTGTTTTTTTTTTCCTTTCTTTCTTTCTTTTGTTTTTTTCGAGACAGAGTTCTTTGAATAGTTCTGACTGTCCTGGAACTCACTCTGTAGACCAGTCTGACCTCAAACTCCGCCTGCCTCTGCCTCCCTAAGTGCTGGGGTTAAAGGCATGCACCACCACCACCGGGCTTCAAAAGCATTTTATAAGTAAATACATTTTGTTTTTGCAAGTCGAAGCTTCTCTGTTGTAACCCTGGCTATCCCAGTACTTGCTCTGTAGACCAGGCTGGCCTCAAACTTGGAGATCCACCTGCCTCTGCCACCCAAGTGCTGGGATTAAAGGCCTACACCACCACCGCCCAGCTGCAAATAACCAATTCTTATTCTCTACACATACGTAAAGCCATCAAATAAATCATTCTATGTATTTAGAAATTGAGCATGTTTTTAAAGCAGGAAGGCTATATAATACATTAAACATTACTCTTTAGATCAGTTTCCATAGCTTAATGTTAAAAATAATTCGAGTAATACTGAAATATGTAGGATGTACTTGTGTGTGTGCTGCTGGTGATCGAACCCATGGTCTTGCACACGCTGGGCAATAGATGAAGTACTTTTTTATGTTAGGAAGGAGTATGAAAATGGACACAGGGCTCTGTCCTCTGGGGTCGCAATCCCTTTCACAGCATACTGATCTACTGTTCTTGCTCTCCCCAGGCATAGGCAAGAATGTCATCTGTGACCGCACTGCGACGCCGCTGGACGCCTTCCGCATGATGTCAGCCGCCCACTACTACCCCAAACTCATGAGCATCATGGGCAACGTGCTGCGCTTCCTGCCGGCCTTCGTGCGCATGAAGCAGCTGATAGAGGAGGGCTATGTGGGCGAGCTGCTGGTGTGCGAGGTGCAGGTGCACAGCGGCAGTCTGCTGGGCAAGAAGTACAACTGGAGCTGCGACGACCTGATGGGCGGTGGCGGCCTGCACTCCGTGGGCACCTACATCATCGACCTGCTGACCTTCCTCACTGGCCAGAAGGCCGTCAAGGTCCACGGGCTGCTCAAGACCTTTGTAAAGCAGACGGACCACATCAAGGGTATCCGTCAGATCACCAGCGATGACTTCTGCACCTTCCAGATGGTGCTGGAGGGTGGAGTGTGCTGCACCGTGACCCTGAACTTCAACGTTCCTGGAGAGTTCAAGCAGGACGTGACTGTGGTGGGCTCCGCCGGGAGGCTTCTGGCAGTAGGCACTGACCTCTACGGGCAGCGCAATAGCGCCCCAGAGCAGGAGCTGCTGCTGCAGGACACTACATCCGTGAGCAATTCCCTGCTGCCTGAGAAGGCGTTCAGCGACATCCCCTCGCCCTACCTGCGGGGCACCATGAAGATGATGCAGGCAGTACGCCAGGCCTTCCAGGATCAGGATGACCGGCGCACGTGGGACGGTCGGCCTCTTACCATGGCTGCCACCTTCGACGACTGCCTGTATGCTCTCTGCGTGGTAGACACCATCAAGAGGTCCAGCCAGACTGGAGAGTGGCAGAACATCGCCATCATGACCGAGGAGCCGGAGCTGAGCCCCGCCTACCTGATCAGTGAGGCCATGCGCAGAAGCAGGATGTCCCTCTACTGTTAGCACTGGGACCTTGATGGACTCGACCTGCTGCGTGGGGCCAGTTAGGGGGAAATGCTCTGTGGAGAGGGTAGCCATTGGTGGGGATTGTGGGAAGGGCAGCGTGAATGCACAGCGTAAGAAGGTGGTCCCCGTCCTCGGTAGAGGGCCCCTAAATCCAAGGTGGTGGTGGGCCGACTTCATATTCAGGAGGGCGTGCCCTCCTGATTGGGTATCGGATGAAAGGAAGGAGGTTTAACTAGCACCTTTGTACTCCATTACTGTGAGAAGCAAGGAGGGCCTGCCCCCTGCCCTACCTCATCCATCCACATATCTTGGCCTTCTTTGCAAGCCAAGGCTGTGTATCTGATGACAAGCTCAGTGGGAGATAGGCTCTCTGTCAGCGCCCTCCACTGGCAGGAGAGGGCACTTCATTAAGTGTCTACAAAGGGTTTTTTTGGTGTTTTTGTTTTGTTTTTGGGTTTTGGTTTTTTTGGTGTAGAGGAGGTGGGTGGGGCTGGTGGAAAAACTTGTAATTCCGGGAAGCCACTGTGTGTTTTACTTTAAGGATCTGAAGGAAAAGTACTTGGTAGCAAAGTGCACAGCTTCTTTGATTGCTTTGTGTCCCAGGAAGCATTAGGGCCTATCTAACTGGCTCACTGATGTTCCCCTGGTACAGTGGGCTTCTGCAATGGAGAGCAACTGAGGTGGTAAGCTGTACCTCTGAGGTGACCCAGACGACAGACAGGCTGCACAGAGCCACTTCAGAGCCCTCCCTCAGCAGGGGGTGGGACTAGTGTGAGAGGCAATCCAGGGGGCCTGCCACGCTCTCTAGGCAACGCTAAGAATGCTGCAGGTAGCGTGGGCTTGCCTGTCGCTGCCTGCCTGGGTCAGGACAGCTGCATTCCTGGGTGTTGCAGTATGAGCTCCCCAAAAGCAGAGAGCATGAGCCCAGCTCCAGAGTTGCTATAAGCCCAACTGCCAAGCTGAAGAAAGACACGGAGGAGGAAAGACATGAGACATCTGTGGGTTTAAACAGGAAGCCATTCACTTCACTTCCACAGAAAACACTTTACCTTAAGAAGAGCCATGGCTCTTTCCCTTCCTTCCCTTTGGCCTTGGCTTTCAGGATTCTGACGGCCGGAAACTTTTGAGTGGGTATTAAGACAAAAAGCCAACAGAGAACATATTTTCAGTGTTTCTAAAACGGGGCTCTAGATCCCCAAGAGGGGTCTATATAGGTGGAGAAGGTTCACGCTGGGGAAAAAAAATCTTTGCCTTCCTCTTCTTGTCTTTTTACCCTCCCTGTGAAACTAGAGATGGACCAGTACTGGCTTAGATGTCGGCAGAGACAAAGCCTGTCATCACATGGACACATCTTTGCAAATGTTTGCTGTCCTCAAATATGACTAAAACAGTCTTTAAAACTCGAGTCTGGTCTTAAAGAAGGGTCAAGACTGAAAATAGGGAGTTCTCTTTTTCTCGGTTGGCTTTGCTAACCTTCCCTGGCATGTGGTAGTTTTGAGCCTGGGTATAGACTAGTTCCTGTAAGTAGTCTGCTTAGAATCCAGGCAGTGCTCCTCCCTGGAGCCCTGGTAATTCACAGGCACAGTCATACTGGAGCCCACACACCAGTGGAATGATGGTCATTTTCTAGCACGAAGGAGCGGGTGTTGCCTTGCTGGGAGCCCCTGTTCAACATGGTAAAGGTAGCTGATTGGTTGCCACCCCTTATGGCCAGTGTTTCAGGTTTACAGCTCAGACCAAAACTGGCTATCTGTGCACAGGGCCACATCATAGACTTTTTGGCTTTTTTGGTTCCTGCTCTCATAAATTGCTCTTTAGGAAAGTAATTTTCCCTCTAACTACCCTGAAAATCTGTGATTAAGGATGAAATCAGGGACATGGTAGACAACTCCATGGAGTTCATTTTTCCAAGTCATTTACCTAAGTAGATATTCTTGTGATTTCAATTTTTCAATTTTTTGTTTCTCCACTTCCCTCATATTTGAGGTTTTCCCTCTAGAGGCCTCTGATCTCTGTGATAAACCATGCTGGGTCTAAAACCAAAACTTTCATTTGAGGTTAGGGGCTGTAGAAAGAATATGTGTTCTTTGGAAGAAGCATGAGAAAGTAGTGAGTGTACTGAAGTTGTATCTACTGGAATGCATGTGGTAGAGGTAGAAACAGGAGGGGGAGGCAGTTCTTCGAATGTAAAAATGACAGCAGATGGTTTGGAGGCCTTCTGTAGGGCTCCTTCGGCCCTTGGCTTCTCACGTGCAGATTTCTGATCGGCTGCAGCAATGTGAGACCGGAATCCAAGCTTTCGACAACATTCTGCAAACTGACTTTGATCTAAGTTCTGGCAATAACCCAGCCACTTTCTAATTTTTTTTTTTTTACATGGTTTAAAGGCCTGGTGGAACAGAGACTGTTTGGGGCCTTTTCATTCATTTTCCCCTGGCCTTGCTTGTTCCCATCATTTTATATATACATTATTTTATATATGGCCTCTACAAAAGTCCAGATTCCCAGAGATTTTTAAATAGGTATACACAAGTGTTTGGGAATGGCCCAGGTTCTGCAAACCTTGGAGTCTAGAACTCCTCTGTGGTCACTGTCAGTTCCACTAAGACTTCTCCCCTCCATGGTAAAAATTGCATCATGGGGTTCCTTCAAAGCATCTTAGTCTCCTTGGTAGCACGTCCCATAGTGTCAGGTCCTGTCAGCACTCAAGGTGGCTTACCTGGCTTACCCACCGAACGCAGAGTGTTGTAGGTGCATCATCTTATTATCTATAAAATTAGTATTGGGTACTGTCTCATTCCCCTGTGTACATACGAAGATGTAACCCGCCCAAAGCCACACACGGAGTGAGCAAGCCACAATTTGTACTTTCCTTGTTCTTGTCAGGAAAAGCATTCCTCCTGAAGCCCTGTAGGGGGCGTGCTCCCACCCCAAGGAGCCACTGTAAGAAGAGAGGGCTGAAAGCCACAGCACTCTTCTTGTTGAGTAAGATGCAAAATTTGATGTCCTGCCAGCAGGTTGGCAACTGAAGCTGCCTACAGAAGCAGCTGGGTTTTCTTCCCCTTCCCAAGTGGAAATGTCACTCGGCTTCTTTTGAGGTGGATTTCCTCTGTTGAGCTTTAAGTGTAGATGACTCAACAACCCTCAGCTCTGGGGACTTTCTAAGCATTGTTGGCTATGATAGATGGCCTTGGATTTTGCTGCTGAGGCCGAAGTATAACATAGGAAGACATCTTTTCACAGGAAGGGGGGGGGGGGTCTGGGGTTTGTTTGGGACCTGGGTTGTAGCTGTACCATTCATTGTTGCATCAAACGCTTTCTTCATCTTGTACAGTGACTGTAGCCATTGAACTTGACCTGTGGTTATAAATTAGGTTTCTGACCTGGTCTCCTTTTCCAGTGGGTACTGCAGGAAATAAGCTTTGTTAAGGATGCCCTGAGGAGAAAGTCAACCCAATAGCACATGAGAGGATTTCAGAGTGGCATCTCTAAGATTCTTCCTTTGATAGTCAAGAGAGGAATATAATGGCCATTCTTTAATGGTAGATCTGGGGTTGGGAAGCCCATTTCCTGATTCTCAGTTTCTTCCTAACTTCACCAACCACACAGGGAAGGAAGGCTCATCCAGGTGATCAGTCTGGGTAGGAAATAGGCCAGAAGGAGAACACAGACCCGCACTGAACAGTATTCACTAAGCTGTGACAGGTAAACCCTTATTTTACAAACATGTTACAAGACTATGTGTATGTTAGGGACAGAACCCAAGGCTTTGTGAATGCTAGGCAAGCTCTCTACCACTCAGCCACACCTCCAGCCTCAATTGTGTCTTCAAAGTACTCAGAAAACTTGTGACTATAGCAGAAGGGTTATCTCTAATTTGCACCTTTATGGAGGTGAGGGGACATAGATTCAGATGTTCACCTTGAGGAGGACTTGAGGCCTGATGCAGGATACAGATTCTGACTCTGACTACCCTATGACTCTTGCTCCATCCACTGGTGACTTCCTTCGTCCACCAAACCCCTGGAGTTTGCAGAACAGGGTGATAACACTGGGGAACTTGGGGGAAAATAGCACCTGTCTGACCATCCCCTTTGCTTCCTTTGGACAAGGGGGCGGGGCGGGGGTGAAGAAGGTTACGGTCCAGAGTCTGCCGTATGGCTCCAGGGTCTTCTCTGGTACTTGTGTTGTTCCAGTGGCCGCCCTGGTCAGTGTCTGGCAGGTGGATCATGCTCTGAGTTTAGCTGGGGCTTCCAGAACTTCTCCGCAGAGCTGTTACACCCTCTCATACTTCTCTAAGAGTGAGAGGCTCGTGGTCTCCTCGGAGTTTGGCAATCTGAATGCATCCGTAAAGAGGAGGTAGCCAACCCAACTGGCCTTTTCTTCCCTGCATCAGGGTCCTTATTTGCTGGAGCCCTTGAGGGCCAAAGAAGCCTCTGGCTCTCTTCCAGGCTACTGACATGTTGCACTACTGAATCCTCTCAAATCTGCTGCAGCCTTTTGTTTACACCAGCAGAGAACAGAGTGACGAAAAGAACATTCTAGTTGAAATGCTTGATGCTTAGTGCAAAGCTCGCCTGGGTCAGTGGAGCAGGGAAGTCATCCTGGCCACGGAGTCACCATGTCTCTGTTGTCTCCTGTGCCCTGTCCAGCTCTCTGCTGTCCCCTGCAGCCACCATAAGGGCTAGGCTGTTCAACGAGCCCCATGGCTTCTAAGAAATGCAGTGTGGCTTATTTGTAGTGCCGAGTGACATCCCAGGCAAAGAACAAAAGCCTGTGACCTGCCCTGCCCCTTTATTCTGCCCTGCCCCTTGTTTAGGGGAGGGAGAACTTTCTAGCAATTACGGCTTTGTTTGCTGCCTGGTGCTTTTACAGTATGTCATTTGTTTTCATTTCCTTTTTTAAAACCAAAATTGCATTGGTTTGGCTGTCATTGTCAAGTGTATATTTATTGTTTTACAGATGTGAGTATATATGTATGTATATGTATAAAACCAAACTTATATATAAAAAGTCAAGGCATGTACACTAGATATTTTAAAGTTATTTATCAAAGGGAAAAGATGTGTGTTATAAAGTAAAACAGAGTCTATATTTTATATATAATGTAGATAGCAAAAGATAGCTTATAAATTATAGAAGGTTTTACTTTTTGTTTTCTATTATTAAACAAAAAAAGAAAGAATTTTAAAAGGTATTTAAAAGAGAGAGGGGAACAAATGCAATAGTGCTTAGTGCTTTTGAGGCAAACCGCTAGGGAGTGGGAGGTGGCTCGCCCTCCCTCTGCAGTTCCAGGCTGAGTGGATGGTACCCACGGTGCCTTGCGATGCTCTGGGCCAGGGCAGGCATGCTCAGCCAGCTGTCTGGGCTGCTGCGGCATTGTTTCCAGCTGCTGAGTGGCTTTGATGGGATGAGCATTGGTGGGAAAAGGATGGATATGGCAAATAAAGTCTTCAAAGAAGAGGTGATTCCAGCCTGGTTGTGTTTTTCTAACCCCAGATGCTCTTGATTTGGGAACTGCTCAGCGTGTGGGCACTGAAGCAGGGAGGGGGGACGCTTGGGGGAGGGGGCTTTGAGGTGAGGCTGTCAGCATCGCTGAAGCTAAAAAGACGGGAATCATTGAATATGTGCTGGAGCAGTCTGCTTCAGATCATTATTTTGAAAATGTTGAAATAGAACCTACTTAAGTATGCATGTGTAGCTACATGCATGTGTGAGTGTGTGGCAGAGGCTAGACCAGGGAAGAAGATAAAAGCACGATTTCACATCAGAGAAGCAAATTTCAGATTTTTTTCACATTTCATGAAGCCGTTTTAAAACAGTGGCACATGTCTATAATCCCCGTAATCTGGAAGTAGAGACAGGAGAATCAAGAGTTTGAGTCCATCCTCAGTCACAGAGTAAGTTTGAGGTTAGCTTGGGCTACATGAGAGCCTGTCTCAAAAAACCCCACACCAACAAAAGGCACTTTCTGACAAGCATTCTTAAGAGCATCTTTGCCTGCCTTGTGTTTCAGCACCATTTGAGAGCAGCCATTTTGGACTGAGCTCAAGTTAATTGGAAATTTGCATGACATGGAAATTTGCCTCTCATGATTGGCTTGGCCTTCCCTCTGTGTCTTAGCAGAAAATGCACAATCATTTCTTCTGGTCTGCACCTCCCCTTTACTTGAACAGTTCAAAAAGATAAATAGTACCACAAATCCAAAACCTCCTTATTCACAGGAACCAACACACACACAGCCCATCTCCTCATAACATCTTTAACAGTACATTTACGCATCCACACACATGAGTAGGGTACCCCAGGACATTACCACACCTCAGGATTCTTCAGTGAACCTCATCAGTTCTAATCAAGGTAATGCAGAAAAGTCTAAAAGTCACCTGCCCAAACGGTGGAGCTTGCTGGGACAGGGCCCAGCCTCTCCATTTCTCCGGGCGAGCTACCCCGGAAACCAACACTCAATGCAAATCGCAAACCTAAGCACTTATAAACATTTTCAGTCTAGGAGCTAATTATTTTTTCTCAGGTTGTGGGCTTTTTGTGTGATGCTGACTGCTCTCAAATTGGGATCATTTTTTGCTTCATAAACCAGAATCATATAGTTTAGTATTCTCAACCTGAAAAATCTGAAAGCCAAAATGCTTTGAAATCTTTTGAGTGCCAACATGAACTTTGCAGCATTTTGACTTTGGATTTTCAGATTAGGGGTGTTCAACCAGTATTCAGATATTTCAAAATCCTCAAACATCAACCAAAAAACCCCCTAAAGCCAACAAGTGAAGCACCCTCAAGAATCTGAAGTGCACTGGTACCAAGCCTGGATTAGGAACACTCCGTCTGTCCTGCCCCTTGCTAAGTCAGCCTAGATTAGGACTGCTTCCAGGCTCTTAACTACTGCCCTATGCATGGCCACAGTTTTCTAGCACACCATCCAGGTTCCTCACGGGTCAAATGGGAACTCGGTGCGTCCTCGCATGTCTATCTGTCAACCCCATCCCACCCCCAAAAAAGATGCACCTTCTAGTTTCCCTTCCTACCTTTTTTGAGGCAGGGTCTCTCTACATAGTCTTAGCTGTCCTGAAACTCACTGTATAGACCAGGCTGGTCTTGAACCTGCCTGCCTCTGCCTCTCAGGTACTGGGATTAACTTATTTTATTATTATTTTTTTTTAATCTCGTATTTCAGTATGACAAGTCTAGTTGGTTCCCTTAAAAAATGCAGTACTGCCATATTTTATGGTGAATGATATGTAAAAATCTGTGTTAAAATGGGGAAAACACTAAGCAGTAAGGTTCCACTTACTAAGTCACGTCTGCCTTGTTCTTGCCTGAGCAGAGTAGGTCCCTTTGCCTGGGTCTCCCCAGACTTTGGCCCAGCCCCTGTTGAGAGGCTGTTCGAGAATCTAGATGAGATGAAAAGGATTCATCCTTCCACAGAGTTGGCGTCAAGTCACAAACACTGCTTGGCAGCTCGCTGGAACCAAAAACTGTTCTGAGAAAGCGGGTGTCAGTGAGAACCCTTCAAATGCCTTTGTCTGCTCTTTCAAGTTCAGGCTTCCTTTAGCTCTTATCTCCGAGGCTGCATCTGTTGGGTAAATTCCTGAGGGCTGACTTGAGCTATGACTGCCTTTGTGGCAAGACCGAGGCCCAACCACAGGTCTGCAAGATAAACTCCAGTGAATCTAACCTGGTACCTGGACTTCCTCTAAAATATTGTGCTAATTACAGAAACACCTTTATCTCCTAATTACATACAGATTCGGATTGCCTGGGATCAAGTCACAATTTTTCCTTTCAGCTATCCGTGAAAAGAGAAGATTAAATGACTTAAAGGGAGGTTTTCTAGGGCAATTACAATTGTCCTCAGTATCCAAGGGGAGTGTGGTCCAGCATCCCTACCTATGCCCAGGGCCCCTTGCTGTAAAACGGCATGGTGTTTCACAGAACCTGCATTATCCTCCTATGTACCTTAAGTAAATCATCCTGGGTTACTTACACCAAACACAGGGGTGGGCAAGAGGGCTCGCTGGGTAAAGTGGCTTACTGCTAAGCCTGGCGACCTGAGTTTGATCCCTGAGGGATCAGGTGGGTGGTAGGAGGAGAGAACCAACTTTCAAGGGTTGTCCTGTGACTACCACATACATGCTGTGGTGCATAACCTGTGTGCATGTTTACACACACACACACACACACACACACACACACACACAGACACACACACACGCCAAATGTTTTAAAATATCAAATACACTATCAAGGCTTTGCAAATAGTCGTTAGACTTATTGCTTAAGGAATAGCAACAAGATCGTCTTTGATGTTCAGTCCACATTTCACGATGCCTTAACAAAACTCTAGTCAGCAACTCAAACTGGTTTTTACAATCAAGAATTCTATTACAATCCAACCCAAAGATACACTAATTTGATATTTGCTTGCTGAAGAATGATGGCAGGAGACATTAAAAGTCGCTTTTTCTGTAATTAGAGCCCTGTGTTTCTATAAGAGCAGAATTGTTTGCACGGTGAAAACACTGCCCTTCCCAACACCAGGCAGCCGCTGACTCCAAGCCGAGGGTTTCGGAGAGCATTCCTTGGTGGCATGTAGCATGATGACAGCATGTTCTGTGCGAAGTGCACATGTTGTAGGCTGAGAACCAAGGCAGTAAAGTTACAAGATACTGTCAAGAACACCTTGGATTTGGTTTTGAATTAAGTTTTGGTGACAGCACATTCAAAAGCCTGTTGCTAATGTTTTGGTGACCAGCACATTCAGTTATGTGACCCCATGAGGTGTCAGTTCTCAGTTCAACAAGCTGGAATAGAGGAATTCATTTCTTGGTCATCAATGACACTCAGTCATAAAATCATAATCTGTCTATGCCATTGTCTCGACCCATTCCTTATTGACCATCATCGCCCTAAGAAGAAGGAACCTCGAGATGACCCTGTGTGGATCAGATGATGGGCAGAGCTTGTGTACAAAGTCAAGGCTCAGTCAAAAACACCCCCAAGCACTGATCTTAGAATGAAAGGGTCTCAATCAAGTTAGGTTAGAGTAAGGCTCTACCCTCTGGGGAAAGGGTTGATCACTTCAGACACCCTTCAGATGACTTCAGAAAGGACCAGGCAGATGGATTCACTAGGTCACTCTTGGGAAGACAGTAAGACTAGAGACCTACTGTGTTCTTGGGTTCCATCTGGGACAAGCTTGCCAACAGATGAGGTGGCTCTTCTGTGTGCTAAGCTGGGGAGTCTGGACTTGATACTCAGGTTCCTGGTACAAAGCAGGAGACAGAACTAGCCCTGAAACAACAGCTGTATAGGAATCCAGCTGTGAAGGGACAACATTACTCAGATCATGGAAGAGGCCGTGTGTGTGTGTGTGTGTGTGTGTGTGTGTGTGTGTGTGTGTGCGCGTGTGTGTGTGTGATGGCGATAATAGGACAGCAAGGGAACAGAGGGCAGTAGCGTGGCCGGGGTAAAAATAGATGGAAGGGAGAAAGCAGATGCAAGGCCAGAGAGGGGCATTTAAGATATGGAAGGCTATGAAGATAAGCAAATGCCACATGAGAAGTGTGGAATAAGAGCTCCTTCAAGATGACAGGCCTTAATCTGTGCTCTGAGAACAGCTTGTATGAGGAGGAGGATGACGATGAGAAGGAATGACGGGGGAGTTTCTGCAGGAAGTTTATGAAACTGCCTGTCCAAAGCAATCAAGCTGTTGGCATTTGTGGAAAAACGTTTAATGCCTCCCACTTTGCTTTAAGTAAGTACCATCTCTTGTGCCCCCTCCTTTCTTGTTTTTCCTATTTTCAAATTCCCCAGACCTGGCAAAGATACAAAGGCTCTCATCTCCCCCTCTCCTGTCACCCTGTCCTGGGGCTTCTGGCCCCTCACCGGTGACTCAGGGTCTGCCATTTAGCATTTGGTGTTCACAGGGCTTCTTGGCCCCCTCAGCTTTCAGAGATCCTGCCCACAAGCTGTCACTACGGTCTCCCTTCTCGTCCTACACTGGACATTTCTGGGGAGTCCCCAGCATAGCAGGCCTGACCTGCAGAACTGGGAGCTCATCAGGTGAGTCTCTGGCTTCTTTCCTTGGACTCCCTGACTCAGTCCTGGGGTCAGGTCTGGATCTTCTGTCTTGTTGGATTTCTTGTGACATCCAGGTTCTCCCTTATTTGCAAGAAGTCTCTTTTACTTGGTCGTATTCATACAGCCATCTGGCATGTATCCATCCATATAGACTGAACTCGTCTCAGAATGTCATTGTTTTTTGTTTCCTGATCACCTGACACATGCTGTACCCCCTCACTTCATCTGATGTAGGGAAACCCAGTAAGAAGCATCCTTCCCTCTTATTGATGGATCTCCTTCCCATCGTGCTTTGGTTCCTCACCTCACCTCGTTTCCTAGCCCCTGTCCTCTTGAACACATGGTTAGACCTACAGGAAGGTGGATGAAA